GAGCCAGCCTTGAGCAGAAAAGTCAAGGACAGTGCCCAGGCCCTGAGTTCAAGCCCCAGGACAGGCAATGAATAATAATAATAATAACAATAACATAATAAAGATAGACTTTCCTTATTTGTTCATGTCTAAGAAGATATGCTAAACATACTTAGGCAATCAGTATATAAAGGGAAGTTTCAGTATTGAGAATAAAAAAACATTCCAGTCTCAAGGAAATTACTTACATGAGAAAAGTTTACCTAGGCAATAGAGAAAATTTTAATCTTTTAAAGGAACCCAGGAAAGAGAAATTGATCTCTGCAACAGAAAAATAACCAGAAAAACATTTCTTGAATTCCAGACAAAGAGTTTCAAAGTCAATCAAAAGGTGTTCAGCTCACTGCAATCCAAGATCAAACAAGTTCAAGCCTCCAATCTACCTCCCCTGCAGATGTCTCCTCGGAATGAGGATTGCTGTGAACTGCAGACAGATTTTTCTAAAATGCTCTCTGAACTTCCTGTCTTGTCCTGAAAGCAGGAAACAAATTCACAAGGGTTTCCTTCCTGCCCTCTCTGCTAGGAAGGACACAATAAAGGTGGAAGACAGCCACGCCACCGGCTTTCCTCCAGGGCCCTTACCTACCAGGAGAGACCCAAGTTCTTTTCTCTGTCTTGTCACTTTTCTAAACCTCCAAGGTCTTTGACTGCCAAATAAAAGACTAAACCCAAAGTCTGTGAACTCCTTTAGGCTTTGTTTGCTAAAAAAAAAAAAATGAAGCTTGGATTATCAGTAAGCCCCAACTGTCCAGACTTCTAGTCAGTGCTGGGATTTTTCCTTAGAGCCTTCTGCTTGCCTGGCTTGCTTGCTTTGCTGGAGGAGATCTATCACTTCAGCTCCAGCTCCACCCTTGCTTTTTGCTACTTATGTTGGAGATGGAGTCTAGAAAGCAGTTCTGGCCTGGACTGGCCTCAAACTATGATTCTTCAGATGTCAGCTGTCCTGAGTTAGGGAGCAAGAATTGTAAATGTGAGTCATCAGCACCCACATCAGACTTCTGGGCCTCTCTCTTTATAAAGCTAGTGCCCCAGGGCAGATCTAAGCCAGGACCAGCTCTGCACAGAAAGCACCTCCCCCATAACACCAGGTGTCTAGCACTCATGACACAGAAAGCTTCTGCATTCAGTACCACATTTGTACTTCTTTGAGAAGAAAAGTATGTAGGTGATGGGAGAATATGAGGCCTGGGAAGAGAGATGGCCTTCCCAGGGCTATACACCCCAGTGCTGGGAACGAAATCCAGGTCTCTTGACGGTCCTAAGACCATAACCTGAAAAGCCACTGAGCCAGAGAGTAGGAAATGAGCAGAGAGGTCGTGAAGCCAGAAGCTCACCCGCGGGTCATGCCTGCTCCCTGACTTCCACTTCCCTTCCATCACCCCGCTTTCCATCCTGCCCACTGACTGCCCAAAGGCTTGTGTGTCTCTGCCGGCATGGCCAGCTGTCCCATTGGTCCAGTCATCCCCTCCACCTCCTCACCAACTTGGAGTTTTCCCCTGAAGGCCTGCTCTCAGAAGATGGGTGCTGCTTGGGTTTCTCACTGCAGGCTGGGTGATGATCATCTCTGAAAAGATGTCAGCTGACTCCAGGTGAAGCAGGAAGGGGCAGGCGATCAGAGAGCAGGAGGGACATTCCCGCCAGCAGGTGGAGCTGAGGGGCAGCTGGTTTTCCTCAGCCTCTACTCCAGGCTCTCAACATAGAACAGCTACTTCTTTGCCACCAGGCCTCCCGAACTGGTTGATTGAAATCTGAAATTTAAATGCTGCCTAGCAATACAATCATTCTGAATTTCACGGTTGTTTTGCAGTTTCACGGGAAATGTCATCACAATCTATCTTGGAAAGTTTTGGGAATAATGGAGTATCAGATTGACAAGACATTCTCAAATAATTTAAAGGGGGAAAAAGTTCTAACTACTATAGTTGCAATTTTAAGTTTGTGATGTTAAAAAAAAAATGTAAGTAAGCACTAGTGGGTTTTAAATCCTAGCTACTAGGGAGGCTAAGAACAGGAGAATTAGGGTTCAAGGTCTGGCTCAGCCCAAAAGAAAACGTGAGACCCCCTTCTCAATCTATAACTAGATACAGTAGCACGTGCATGTCATCCTAGCTATGTGTGAGACTGAGATCAGGTGGCTTATGGTTCAAGGAAACCCAGGCAGATAATTTCTTGAAACTCCATGTCAACAGAAATGCAGTGTAGCGATAAATGCTTGTAATCCCAGCTTAAGATGGGAAGCCTAAAATAGGCGCATCAATTAAGAGCACAATTAAGAGTGCCACCATTTCCAGTGTACTATTTACATTCACCAATCTGGCAACTTAGATTCAAATCTCAGCCCTATTGTGTATCAGCTGTGTATCACACAGTATAAATTCCTTAAACTCTCTCTTTTCAATGAAATGAGAACCATTCCAGTATCTGCTCTGTAGGATTGTCATAAAAATTAATGGGTTTACATTAAGTATTTTTGAAGAATGCCCTATGAAGCTGTTCAAAATGAAAACTCGGGCGTGATCACTAAGGATGGGTGGTGACTGGTAGCTGAGTGCTGTAATCCTAGCTACTAAAGAGGCTGAGATCTGAGGCTCTCCAGAGTTGAAGACAGCCTGAGGAGACAAATCCAAGGGACTCATCTCCAATTAATCAGCAAAACCTTGAAGTGGAGGCATTCCTCAGGTAGTTGAGGACCAGCCTCAAGTGAAAAGCCAACCAAGAACGTGAGGCCCTTAGTCAGAACCAGTTCTAGAAAGGACAGGATAATAGAACATAAAACAACTTAATTACATCTAATTCAAAAGAGAAGACTGAAATCTGCCATTATAGGCAAACGTTGTTTTCCTCTTTCACATTTCGGAAAAAGGCCATAGGCGATAGGATAGGGAACAGTGCAGGGAAGGGCAGCTCAGAAAAGCAGGAGGCTGAGTTCACCTCCTTCCCAGACAAAACAGCTCAATGTATGTTGCTCAATGGAGAGGTTTAGTCAGCAGTGCCACCTACAGGTCAGTATGACAAAGGCACCAATGTCATGCAGAGTTCTGCCAATCTGGAAGGATTTGCAAGCAAATAGCAAAATGGAAATGGTTGTTGGACCTGTGTTTCATATCTAATCTACCTGGGAAAGTAATCAGCCTCTAGATAACATAGTCTCCAGTACTTTGCTCTTTGAGGCTGACCTCTAAGGACTGATTCATTTGCTTTTTGTCTTCAGGACTTTTTTTTTTTTGGGTGGGGGGGAGTCTAGTCATGGGACTTGAACTCTGGGCCTAGAGGCTGTTCCTCAGCCCTTCAGCTCAAGGCTAGCACTCTACCACCTGAGCCACAGTGCCACTTCCAGCTTTTTTTTTCTGCTTATGTGGTGCTGAGGAATCGAACCCAAGGACATGGCATGCATGCAAGGCAAGCGCTCTACCACTGAGCCACCTTCCCAGCCCTTCAGGATTTTAAGTCTAACAATCCGGCTTTCCAAAACTTACCCCTTTGCTGACGAAGCAGGGATTGGCTTAACTGGTAACAGAGAAGCAAACTACCATATCCGTATTAGAGATAAGAAGTTAAAAAAAGGGCTGGGAAGATGGCTCAGTGGTAGAGCGCTTGCCTTGCATGCCTGAGGCCCTGGGTTCAATTCCTCAGCACCATATAAGCAAAAAGAAAAAAGCCAGAGGTGGTGTTGTGGCTCCAGTGGTAGAGCGCTAGCCTTGAGCTGAAGAGCTGAGGGACAGCGCCCAGGCCCAGAGTTCAGGCCCCATGACAGGACCAAAAAAAAAAAGAAGTTAAAAAAAACAAACCAGGTGCCACGGCTTATGCCTGTAATCCTAACTGTTCAGGAGGCTGAGATGTGAGCATCTCAGCTTGATGACAGCCTGGATAAAAGGTCTGTGCAAGAACTGGTGAGAAAAAGGTGAACAAATGAAGCCGTGATACCCACTGGACTCTGGAAAATGAACTATACAACTTCTGGGGGAGGGCCAGGGGAAAAACTGGGAAAAACTGGGAGAGGTGACACTGTTCAAAAAGAAATGTATTCATTACCTGACTTACCTAACTGTAACCCCTCTGTACATCACCTTTATAGTAACAATAAATAAATCAGTCTGTGCAACTCCAATTAATCAGCAAAAAGCAAGATGGAGGTGTGGCTCAAGTGGTAGAGTCAACTAATAAACAAACCAAAGGGCTTGAGACCCTGATTTTAAACGCCAATACCAGCAAATAAAATAAAATTTTAAATAAAAAATAAGATTAGGTCTAATGATCACTTATACACCATGTGAAGGACTCTAAACTGAATGTAACAGGGACAGAAACTCATTTGTCAGCTGGGAATCGGAAATCATAACATATATTTAAAATCACATTGATTAATAACTAAAATACCAATGCTATGGAGACTGTCCAATAGAGGGGAAAGACTCTTTTCAATCCAGAATCCTATACCCAGTCAGCCTGAGGATTAAGTATCTTCCCGTTGGAGTGTCATTCCCACTTCTTGCCAATGTTGTGACCTGGCCAGCTTCCTTACCCTGGGCTCTGATAGGTTAAAAAAAAAAAAAAAAAAAAACTCCTCTCCCAGTTACCTTCGAAACAATCAGTGAGACAGCTCTGCAGAAAGTACTCTAGTACAAAACAAACCATGGACTAGTGGGGAAATACAGTATCCAGGGAAGAGGCTGTAAAACAGAAGAGCAGCAAAGGGAAGCAGAATAAGGCTGAGCAGCAGCCACACTGACGCACTGGGACCTGCACACCGGGGATCGGCGCATGGCCTACACAGCCACTACTTACCAAGTGAGTGACTCTGAGAAACACAACAGACAGCTGTGACATGAAGATCCATCCAACCTGTTGTTGTGGGGATTTTTAATGTGGCTTTGTGTTATAAACATTTTATTCTGACTTGTTTAACAACGAGTGTCTTGATTTACCAGGGATTCAGGGTCCTTAGAAATAATTAGTCACAATCATGTTCCAAAAGCTGCATTTATTCAGGGTAAATCCCCATTTTCTTGGTTGGTCTTCCTTGGCGCAGCTGCAGGAATGCCTCAGTATACCCAACTCATGTGAACCGCGTCACTGAAACTTGATTCCCTGGGCTAGTGGAAGGTCCTTGCTGTAGTTGATGGTGCTAACAGAAACAGAGTTAGACAGACATCACTTTCATGATACAGGAGGCTTTCATGCTACTAAAAAAATGCAGTTGTCCTTATGTTAAACTGTAAGTTCATGGGGAAAAAACAGGATACAAGAGAATATTAATAGCTGGGCACTGGTGGCTCACATCCGTAATCCTAGCTACTCAGGGGGCTGAGATCTGAGGATCACAGTTCAAAGCCAGCCCAGGTAGGAAAGTCTATGAGACTCTTATCTCCAATAAACCACCAGAAAACTGGAAGTGGGGCTGTAGCTTAAGAAGTAAAGTGCTATCCTTGAGCTAAAGAGCTGAGGCACAGCACCCAGGCCCAGAGTTCAGGCCCCATGACTGACCAAAAACAAAAAAGACGTTACTATGAATTCAGCTTTACAAAAGAAAAGCACAAAAACGAAGCTGGAAGTCACAATGCACACACACCTGACTCAGCTTTTCTTTTAAGTAGGACACAGAATGTAAAAACTGTCACTTTGTCTCTTTCAATAAATGGTTTACTTGGATTACGGGAGTGTGGGGAGACAAATATCCTTAGTTGGACAGAAAGAAAATAAATGATAATAATATAGGAAATAGAAGCTTCTTTGTAGCTCGCCAGCTGGAGGATCACCTGGTTCTTTTCCTGAGAGGAAAATCAACCCCACTCAAAGGTTCAGAAAAGTCATCACTAAGTGTTCACCTCCAAGAATATCACTGATTCAAAAAAGGCAAAGCCAGCAGCAGCACTGCGTGCGTGGGACTTGGCGAGCACCGTCCACGCCCCTCAGAGGCTCCCAGCCCGGCCACTGTGGCTAAGGCTGCAAGCGCCAGGCCGAGAAAGCCAGCCAGGGCACAGTACCGGCAAGAAGCAGGGAGTGCACTTGGACACTGGCCCTGGGGTCCTCGCAACACCCCTTTACAACACAGTCCACACGGCCCTGCACCCACATTCTATACTTAGAGAAAAACTATTTTGTTTTCTTTTTTCTTTGGTGCCAGTCCTGGTGCTTGAACTCAGAACCTGGGCACTGTCACTGAGCTTTTTTTTTTTTTTCCTCTCTCTCAAGGGTAGCCCTCTATCACTTGAGCCACGGCTCCACTTCTGGCTCTTTGGAGGTTAACTGGAGTTAAGAGTCTCACAGACTTTCCTGCCCAGGCTGGCTTCAAACCATGATCCTCAGATCTCAGCCTCCTGAATAGCTAGGATTAAAAATATTAGCCACCAGTGCCCAGCAATCAAAGCTATTTCTATGCCAGATTCAGTGGCTCATACCTGTAAACCTAGCTACTCAGGAGGCTGAGATCTGATCAGGGCAGACAAACCCATGAGATTCTTACCTCCTATTAACCACCAAAAAAAAAAAAAAAAAAGCCAGAAATAGAGCTATGGCTCACATGGTAGAGTGCCAGCAGTGAGCAAAAAGCCAAGAAAGAGAATGAGGCCCCAAGTTCAAGTCCCAGTACTGGCATCAAAAACACCAAGCAGTCGGGTGATGGTGGCTCATCCTATAATCCAGGGCTCACAATTTTTCTGACCTTGGAGCATGCATTCTGCATTACGGATGTTCAAAACTGTAGTGCAAACCAATGGTCTAAAAGGAGAGAGCTGTGGAATGCAAACTAAAATGAAGTGAAACAGAGCCACAACACAAAGTAGGAGGTGACAGCACATCCCCAGGTTGGAGCCCCCCCCCCCAGGCCCCTCCTTACCAGGTGGAGCGTCTCATGTACTGCTTCCAGGCGTCGCTGCCGGACTCCCTGCCCCCGCCTGTGTGCTTCTCTCCCCCTGGAATCAGAGGAAGCCGGCCTCTTAGGTCTTAGGAGCTCGTGCTCTCTCTGGCACTTACTTGGTACGGATAAAGAGAGAAGGAAAGCACCCTTCCCTACTTCCACTCAGCCCACAGAAATTTCCACACACCCCACGCCAAAACACACAGAAAAGGGACATGAGAGGGTACAGAAAGTAGATGGAGTTATGAGGAAAAGCATCAAAAAACAAAAGGAAAATAACAGTAACTGTATAATTAAAATGTTGTGCATGGAAACCTTGAGACATTGGAAACAGGATTTTCTTTTCCTAATGCTTATCTAAATATTCTGATTTTCTGACATGTAAATATAAACATATTAGATAATGCATATGTGTTGAATGTATATAATTTTTAAAATGAGTCTCGAGTGTTGGGGCTTATGTCTATAAATCGTAGCTACTTGGAAGGCTAAGATGGGTAGAACCACAGAAAGAGGCCAGCCCACACCTAAATAAAACAATAAAAAACTGGGCATGGTGGCTGCAAACCTGTCATTCTAGCTACACAGAAGGCAGGAGGTTCGTGGTCCAGACTAGCCAGAGAGGAGAGAAAAGACAAGACCCTTTGCTCAAAAATAAACAAGCAACTAGAACAAAAAGTGCTGGAGTCATGGCTCAAATGGCAGTGCTCAGGAAGTGTCATGACAAGGCCTGAGTCCAAACCCAGAACTGCCAAGGTCACCTGCAGGAGGCAAGGAGAAAGAAAATGGAAGTGGACTGCTTTTTCCATTATAAGATGTTTTCACAACTCTAAGAAAGAAGGGGCACCCAGACAGAATGAGCACACATGGGCTAACACAGAGACTAAAGGTCCACAGCGGAGCAAGGACACACACGCACACACACACACACACAAAACACAGCAGGCAGAGACAGGGCTGAAAGGGAAACTTCACACCTGCACACTGAACAGTAATTCTATACCAAACAACAACAACAAAAAAAAAACACAAGAAAAAAAAACTTTGGATAATTTTTAATAAGTAAAATATATATGCTTGTTAAGGAGGGATTTCTTTAAAAAGAAAAAACCTATTTGTAAGTTTAAGCATTAATAACTCATTGTTTATTAAGAGAAAAGAAAATCCGGACCAGAATAAGAAAAGCAATTGCGCATTTCATGTAACAAAGATAGTATGTGGCACAGGGCGATGGTTTTGCAGGACACGGGAGTGCACACTTACAATCCCAGCACTCAGCAGATGAAGGCAAAAAAATTATGAGTTTGGGGATAGCCTGGTCTACAAAAAAGAAAAAAAAACTGAAAAAATAAAGATCTGCTTAATATTTGTAATGCCCACTGCAAAGAGACACAGAATAGTGTATGTGAAGTTTTCTGGCTCTGGAGCAGGGGTTTTTAGTGGTTTGGGGGAATGAAATCTTCTCCTGAGAAAACAACTGCTCCCTTCCAGGGTTTCCGTATCTTGGATTGAGGCCTCTGCTCTGGCCTGATATAACATTTCGGCAGAAGACACAGGACTCTGGCGGTAACCTCAAAAATGGAATTGGCATTTTTTGTTTGTTACAGATCACATAAGGCCATCTCAGAAAACAAAATCATGTTTCAATTTCTTAATGATTGTTCTAAAAGCTCCTATTGCCGGGTGCTTGTGGTTCACACCTGCTATTATAGCTACTCAGTTTGCTGAGATCTCAGGATCTCCCTAAGAAGCCAGCCCAGGCAGAAAAGTTTGTAACTCTTACTACCAAATAACCAACAAAAAGCCACAGGTGGAGCTGTGGCTCTAGTGGTAGAACATGTGCTTTGAACAAAAGAGCTAAGCGACAGCACCCTGGCCCAGTGTTCAAGTCCCAATGCTGGTACAAAAACACATACACACATAAATACACACACACCGTAAGCAGATACTAAGTAAAGCAAGTTAATTTCCAGCCCAACTTGAAAAAGAGAAATGGTGGCCTACGTACCAAATGCGCCTCCGATCTCAGCACCACTGGTTGGAATGTTGACATTCACAATGCCGCAGTCTGAACCTTTAGGTCTACGTAGAAGGAGGGGCATGGTGAGAATGACAGGGAATCTTTAAAAATCAAAATAAGATGAAGCCCAAAGACTATCCAATGTTAAAAACAAAAACAAAAAGCCATTCAATCTTTTCAAAGTCCACTCATCACACAAATGAGATCCACATAAATGTTTGAAAGAGACAAAACTATACCCAAGCCAGCGGAAGATTCTGCCCAGATCCTTGGTAAAGATGCTACTAGAAAGTCCCTGTTTCACTTCATTATTCCATGCAAACACCTCCTCTTCATTCTAAAAGAACAGACATCAGTTGGAGGCTGTTAGATGTTACAGTGCTCAGGTCAAAGTTCACTGCTGTAAGTGGATATTCACGGCTCACACCTGGAATCCTAACTACTCAAGAGACTAAGAGAATCACACGGTTCAAAGCCAACCCAGGCAGACTAATCTGAGATTCTCTTATCTCCAGTTAACCAGCAAAATTTAAAAAAAGTGCAGGTAGAGCTCAGGTATTAGAATGACAGCTTTGAGCCACTAAGCTAAAGAAGAATACAAGGCCTTGAGTTCAAGCCCCAGTATTTGCACATATGTATGCAGGTGTATACAAGAGCGAGAGAGCACACACACGCAAATACACACACACACACACACACACACACACACACACACACACACACACACAAAGTTCCTGGCATTAATCTGATTTAATTGATGTAAACCAAGAACCAATATCCCAGTTGACTAGTTTCACTATTTTTTTTTTTGTCGGTCATGGGGCTTGACCTCTGGGCCTGGGCGCTGTCTCTCAGCTCTTCAGCTCAAGGCCAGCGATCTATCACTTGAGCTACAGCGCCACTTCCGGTTTTCTAGTGGTTTATTGGAGATAGGAGTCTCACAGTCTTTTCTGCCCGGGCTGGCTTTGAACCACGATCCTCAGATCTCAGCCTCCTGAGTAGCTAGGATTACAGGCGTGAGCCACTGGTGCCCAGCTAGTTTTACTATTTCTATGTTCCTCTCTTAGGACAGGATCATGTATTAATAAGTAACACTCATAGAGGTTTTGCTTCAATTCTACTTTAAGGAGCAAAGCTTATAGTCTTCCAGTCAAGCTACTAACTATAATGGATAATATGTATTCAATTTTTATCCTATACAGCACACTGATGTCTGCATTTATTCAGTCCCTAGGACACAACTTTTATACTATCGATCACCAACTCACAAATGTGCCAACTGAAACCCCAAGAAGCAAGGACATTTGCTCAAAAGCTCAAAATCAAACCCACACAGCATAAAGCACAAAATGACACTCACAAGTCTCACAGATGGATAATGGAGAGACATCCTAAAGCAAGATATAAATAAACAATAAGACGCAATTCCTACCATCATTTGCCTGCTCACAATGTCACATTCACACCCGGATTCAGTCTCTGAAATCTTAAAACTAACTAAATATTTGCTGACTTGGCCAGGGCCTGCCTCAGGTTAAAATAACCACAGCCCAATCCCCGACTGCAGATTATAGAAGTGTATCTTTACACTGCCCTTGACCTTCTCATTGTGTGTGCTCACGGGCCCGCAACCAGGCTGTCCAACTGTCCAGTTCCTGTGTTAACAGACCCTGCCTCACCAGACTCAGTGGTTCACCTGTAATCCTAGTTATTCAGGAGGCTGAGATCTGAAGATCACAGTTTAAAATCAACCCAAGCAGGAAAGTCTGTGAGACCTTTATCTTCATTTAACCACCAAATAAGCTAGAAGAGCTGTGGCTCAAGAGGAGAGACAGAGACAGAGACAGAGAGGCTGCCTCTATGGCTTAGATTAAGGCAATACAGGACACAAATGCATACCTTCCATAACCATTAACGCCAGTCAATTCCCATCTCAGTTTCCCTAGCAGCCAGCCTGCCATGCTTTCTTTCGTATTTTATCTGGGACCTTTCAATGTTTCCCACTCACAGTGACTTTAAGAAGCTTTCCCAAGGGCTACTCAAGTGAAACATACCATCCTTCATTTCCCCCTAGCTTCTCGTTTACTTCAACTTTGGACTAGAGAAACGGGATGAATGTCTACCTTGAATTTGAAGACATAGAGAATGGGAGCAAACGTCTCCGTGTGCGCGATGGCCGCATCGTGGGCAAGGCCTGTCACGATGGTAGGCTCCACGTAATTCCCAGGGCGGTTCATCACCTCAGAGAGAAATAAAATGAAAAGATTCAAGGCGTTTTGGTTTCTAGTAGATGAAGGCTAAAGAACACCAACTTTGTCTACATTTCTAAGAAAAAAGGAAAGAAAGAAAAAGCATTTATAAGGCCGGGAAGGTGGCTTAGCGGTAGAGCGCCTGCCTAGCATGCATGAAGCCCTGGGTTTGATTCCGAAGTACCACATAAACAAAAAAAAGTTGGGAGTGGCGCTGTGGCTCAAGTGGCAGAGTGCTGGCTGTGAGCACAAGAAGCTCAGGGGGAGTGCCCAGGCCCTGAGTTCAAGCCCCAGGACTAGCAAAAAAGAGAAAAGGAAAAGGACTTCTACGTAAGGTATTTCTTTTCTTGACTAAATTATATCTCTTCCTCCTATTGGTTCTAATTTACTTGATCAGAGAAAAATAGCAAAAAGGAATAGTTGGGGAGGAGAATGTTCTATGCATCACAACTGACTTTATTTTTTTTTAAATGTTACAAGTATGTTTTGTTTTGTGCATTGCTAGTACTGAGGTTGAACTCCTGTATGCTCAGCTGGCTTGCTTGTAGCTAGTGTTCTATCACTTCAGCCACAGCTCTAGCCCACTTTTTGCTGCATATTTTGGAGATAGGAGTCTTGGGAAATTTTCTGCCCAGGCTAGTTTTGAACAGGAGAGCCTCCAGATCTCAAGAGTTAATAGGCATGAATTACCAGCACCCAACTGCAAGTGGCTATTTCAAAAATAATTTTAAGGTTGGTATTCTGTACCTACTGTGTTATATGCTGAAACCCTAATGAATCCAAAGGCTCCATATTTGGAGACAGAACCTTCAAAGTGGTAACTACAGTTATCAATAAATAAAACCATCAGGACTATATCCCTATTAGAAGTAGAAGAAACTTGGAGAGTTCTCTCCCCTCTCTGAGAAAAGTCACAGAGAACACAGCAATAGTGAGCCATCTGTAAGCAAGAAAGACTTCATCAGAAACTAACCCTTAGATCAGGTGCTGGTGTCTCATGCCTATAATCTTAGCTACTCAAGAGGCTGAGATCTGAGAATCAAGGTTCAAGGTTTGGAGCCAGCCCCAAAAAACAAATCCATAAATTCTTTGTTTGTTTTTTCGGGGAGGTCCGGTCGTGGGGCCTGAACTCTGGGCCTGGGCGCTGTCCCTCAGCTCTTCAGCTCAAGGCTAGCACTCTACCACTTGAGCCACAGTGCCACTTCCAGCTTTTTTCCTTTTTTTGCTTATGTGGCCCTGAGGAATCAAACCCAGGGCCTCAGGCATGCAAGGCAAGTGCTCTACCACTGAGCCACCTTCCCAGCCCAACCCATGAATTCTTATATACAAGTAATCAGAAAAACGACACAAATGGAAGTGTGGCTTGAGTGGCAGAGTCACAGTTATGAGCAAAAAGGCCAAATGAGAGGCCCTGAGTTCAAGCTCTAGTACTAGCAAGAAGAAAGAAAAAAAAAGGAAGGAAAGAAGGGAGGGAGGGAGAAAAACAACCCCAACCTTGCCAACACCTTGGTTGTAGATTTCAAGCCTCCAGAACTACAAAGCTTGAAAACATACTTCTGTTGCCTAAACTACCCAGGCCAGGGTATTTTGTTATAGAAGCCTTTGCAGACTAATACATACTGTGGCAAAGCAAGGATTCCAGAAGGGTACATTATAGACATTCTCCTAACCAACCTCCATGTAATCAAATTCCTAATTAGTCTCCATTAACTTCATAACTCTCTTTCTATGATGTATCTCAATGCCACTACAAGTGGCTCTGAGTGTGGTCCATCTTCCAATGAGCCTCTGAAGTTCTGTTCTCTCCCTGTTTGTTAATTAAGAGTCCATGTGTCCATTCTTAATGGTGTGCATGGAGCTGTGTTAATAATTATTATAATGCCAAAGGCTACTTCTATTACATTGACTGCTTAGGAACAATTTTTTTTTTTTTTGGTCAGTCATGGGGCTTGAACTCTGGGCCCAGGCGCTGTCCCTCGGCTCTTCAGCTCAGGGCTAGTGCTCTACCACTTGAGCCACAGTGCCACTTCCAGTTTTCTAGTGGTTTATTGGAGATAAGAGTCTCACATACTTTACTGCTTAGGCTGGCTTTGAACTGTGATCCTCAGATCTCAGCCTCCTAAGTAGCTAGGATTACAGGTGTGAGCCACTGGCTAGAACAAAATTTTTAAAAGTCTTGTCCAGGGGCTGGGAAGGTGGCTCAGTGGTAGAGTGCTTGCCTTGCATACATGAGGCCTTGGGTTCAATTCCTCGGTACCATATAAGCAGTAAAAGCCAGAAGTAGCCTTGAGCTGAAGAGCTGAGGGACAGCACCCAGGCCTAGAGTTCAGAACCCACTCCAACTAAAAAAAAAAGCCTTATCCAAATAGAATTGAACTGGAGACTGGAGACCAGACTGTTGTGCAAGACTTGAGTTTTCAGATTCATTAAATAAAATGAAACTATACTGTACAGACAGTAATCTACTTTTCTGAGCTTTTGCACAGATGAAGACAACAAAATTCCTACAATCCATGAAGAAAATACCTTTGCTGTCCATCATAAAAATGGGCACTGGTGGCTCATGCCTATAATCCTAGCTACTCAGAAGGTTGAGATCTGAAGATCGTGGTTCAAAACCAGCCCAGGCAGGAAAGTCCCTGAGACTCTTATCCCCAATAAACCACTCAGAAAACCAGAAGTGGCGCTGTGGCTCAAGTGGTAGAGCACTAGCCTTGAGCTGAAGAGCTGAGAGACAGCACCCAGGCCCAGAGTTCAAGCCCCACAACAACAACAAAAAAAAATCACGAATGAATCAGCCCCAGAGGCTCACTGTGTGTCATGCTGGATATGAAGAAGGCATGAATAGGAGGATCACAGCCTAGACACTCCCAGGCACAAACTCCAGGCCCTACCCTAAAAATAACTATAGTAAAAAGTCAGTAGAGTGTCTGCCTAGCAAGCACAAGCCTGAGTTCAAATCCTAGAAAATAAGAATCACACACAAATGTAGTTCTACGTCAGCTTAAAATAAAATAGGGCCTATTTTTGTGTTTCCCTGGCTGAACTGCCTGAAATAACTAATAAGCACAGAGTCTAGCCACTCTGAAGACAAAGTCTTCTGTGGTGTCATGACCAGCGGTCCCCTTCCATACAAAGTCCTGGGAAACCAAATCAAAGGGAACCAAGACTCAGTTTCTCCTGTGTCCGCCCAGATATGCTATATGCAACTTACATCATCATTCTTTACGATCTCTTCCCCCACGCAGAACAGGGCTGAGGAGCTGAAGGTCAGTAGGACCCTTGCCCAGCGCACTGCAAGCTTACTATGCCTACGCAAAAGAAAGGGCCAGAGCTCGAGTTACCTTGCCGCCATACACCACGGTGCCTCCCGCCTTCTTAGCTTCTTCCACAGCTCCAAGAAACATGCTCACTGCCTGCTGGGTGTGGAGGGGCCCGTAGAGAACCTCCGCTGGGGAGAGACAATGAAGGCTCTTCATTTTGCAGGAAGCAGCAGCATTATTATAACAGCTTTCCTAGTGAACAGGCTAAGCCCTTCCTATACCCTCTCAATTGAGAACAGGAGTCAACAACTTGCTTCTATGGTGGGACAGATGAAACTATTCTATGCCTTGCATCACAGATGTGTTATCCATCACAACTACTCAACGCTGCCTTATGCAAATGAGTGGGAGTGGCCAGCAACAGATATACACAGATGGCAGATGCAAATCCAATGGATGTAGATCTGCTTGCCTATCCTGATTTTGAGCAATGACTCCAGCCAAAACACCTCATCAAAAATACAGAATTGGGGCTGGTAAGGTGGCTCAGTGGTAGAGCTCTTTCCTTGCATGCATGAGGCCCCGGGTTCAATTCCTCAGCACCACATAAGCAGAATAAAAAAAAAGCCGGAAGTTGCGCTGTGGCTCAAGTGGTAGAGTGCTAGCCTTGAGCTGAAGGGCAGAGGGACACCGCCCAGGCTCAGAGTTCAGGCCCATGACCGGACCCAAAAAATAAAAAATAAAATAAATTTAAATTTAAAAAAATACAGAATTGGACCAGGACCCAATAGCTCATGTCTAATTCTAGCTACTCAGAAAGCTGAGATTTGGAGGATCAAAGTTCAAAGCCAGACCAGGCAGAGAAGTCCTTGAAACTCTTATCTCTAATTAACCAACATAAAAGCTGGTCTGAAGCATGTTTCAAGTGGTAGAGAGTCAGCCATGAACAAGGTAGCTGAACAAGCATATAAGGCACTGAATTCAAGCCCCAGTATTAAAAAAAAAAAAAACAAAATCACCGAGCTGGGTGCCGGTGGCTCACGCCTGTAATCCTACCTATTCTGGAGGCTGAGATCTGAGGATCATGGTTCAAAGCCAGCCTGGGCAGGAAAGCCCATGGGACTCTTATCTCCAATTAACCACTCACAAAACTGGAAGTGGCGCTGTGACTCAACTGCTAGAGCACTAGCCTTGAGCTGAAGAGCTGAGGGGCAGTGTTCAAACCCAGAGTTCAAGCCCCACGACCGACAGAAAATAAATAAATAAATACTATAGAATTGATAGAATTGGCTTATTGATTGCAATTGCCCTATCTCCAAAAACATCAGTTTCTGGAGCTGGCATGCAGTTCAAGAGTGACAGGTAGAGACTGCTTGTGTGATGCCTGTGAACAAATCATTAAAGTAACCCCAGGGATGAGGAAGATATAGGTAGACCCTTGTAAAGTAGAGCCAGCGTGGGAAGAGCTGCATGAAGGGCATTCCCAGTCTCACCCAGTGACATGCACCAAGCACCTGCGTCTCTCAAGCATCTAGTCTCCTCTTCTTGTGCCCTCTTAAGTCTCTCAGAAAAGTTAAGTATGTATGTCAACAAATAAATAACTTCTCAAAGCAAAGATCATAAACACTGTCAAAAACAGTACCAAAGGAAAACAGGAGGGTTTTGTTTTCTCATTTGCTGCTTTTATTTTCTTTCTTTTTTGTTACATCTGTTCGTTCATCTGTCTTTGGGAGGTAAGATGAGCACAGAAATGGAGGGACAAAGGGTGAACAAATGCAGCAATGGTACTCACTAGACACCAGGTTGAAAATGTGGGAGGGGAGAAGGAAAAATTGGGAGAAAGCAAGGGATGGAGCGACATTGTCCAAAAAGAAAGGACCTGTTTACCTGAGTTATGTAACTGTAACCCCTCTGTACATCACCTTTTTGTAAAAAGCAGTACCATTTAAAACACAATCTGATACTCACAGTCCCATGGGTTCCCAACACGGATCTGTGCGTAGGCCTTTTTAAGTCTGTTTACCACCTCATCATGGATACCTTCGTGCAGAAACTACAGAGGAATAGCAAGGTTATAATACAATAGCAAAGAACACAATTTCTTACAATGAATCATTTTCTTTTCTTTGATGACACTGAACACTGGGCTGAGTAATTATTTGGCTGCTGCTTTATCACTTGAACCACACCTCCAGCCTAGCTTTTTGCTGGTCAATTGGAAATGGAGTATCTTGGACTTTTCTTCATGGACTGGCTTTGAATCACAATCCTTCAGATCTTAGCCTCCTAAGTAGTTAAGTACTGATTACAGATATAAGCCACTGGCACCTGGAATTCATTTTCCTAATAGTCTTGATTAATAGTTGTTAATAGTTACTGAAATACCTAAGTCGGAAATGGAGCCATAAAAGCAAGACCAGCTGGCCTGGGACTCCGCCAATCTCTAACATGAGCTGTAATCAGGTGAGAATCACCCCAGCCCCCACCCAGGCACCATGGGACTTGTGCTGTAGTCTCCTAGCACAGGTACTAAGCCATACATCACCTAAGTTAGTCTGAATTAATCTCCATATGACAAGTGAGTTGTCATTTTGAGACCTAGCCACTGAAAGGCCATAACACTGTGATTCTTTTCATATGCATCACTAATAATTGCTATGGAAGCCAGAGTGAGCGATGACTAATAGTGTTCTTTAATATTCAGCACTAAATACAAAGCATCTGCTCCAAAACACAAAGGAAAATTAAAGCAGGCTGCGAAGAGCGATGGTTGGCTTGCATGTCATTGTCTATTTTACCAGGTGAGCATGGATAAAAGTTATCTGTAATATCTCTGCTTCTTTCTTAGCTTGAGTATGTTTAATATTCATGAACAAAATAAACTGTAAATACTATCGTATCTTAAGGTTCTTTTTGAGAACTTGAATGGGATTGTGTAAAAAATAAAAACTAAAGGGCTGGGAAGGTGGCTCAGTGGTAGAGTGCTTGCCTTGTATGCATGAGGCCCTGGGTTTGATTCCTCAGCACCACATAAACAGAAAAAGCCGGAAGTGGCGCTGTGGCTCAAGCGGTAGAGCACTCGCCTTGAGCTGAAGAGCTGAGAGACAGCGCCTAGGCCCAGAGTTCAGGTCCACGACCGGCAAAAAATAAATAAATAAAATAAAGACTAAAGCCAGGTGCCAGTGTCTCACATGTGTCATTCTAGCTACTCTAGAGGCTGAGATCTGAGGATCGCAGTTTGAAGCCAGCTCAGGCAGGAAAGCCTATGAGACTCTTACCTCCAATTAACCATGAAAACTGAAGTGGCACTGTGACTCAAAGTGGTAGAGTGCTAGCCTTAAGCAAAAAAGCTCAGGGACAGCATCTTGGCCTTGAGTTCAAACCTCACAAGTGACAAAAAAGTATATTTTGCTCTAATTAATTTAGATTTATAATTTTAGATTTATAATTTGTGATTTTGGCTCAAGGGCAAGGTGCTGGTCACCCCTGCTATGTGATCTTGGACTTTTGCCTACATACTGTTACAGAAGAAAAACCAGAAAGAGGTCTCAACCCCAGTCCACTTTCCTTCAACTGCTGGAATCCTATTTCTGTGAAGCCACCACTAGCTTAGAGTAGGAAAAGTCTCTATTGATTTGTATGTACAAAAGGGTGAGCTGGACCATATAGATGCGAATCATGACTAGGCAATATATTTTTTCTAGCAGTTCCTCTATGATACCTAACCAACAGCAGACATTCAAACATGGTGGATAAAAGGACCAAAAAACCACAACAACAAAAAGTCGGCCACTCACCAGTCGTCTTGCAGTGGTACACCTCTGGCCAGCAGTCCCCACGGCAGCAAAGAGGGCAGATGGAACAACTAAGCTGAGGTCTGCATCCTCAAAAGCTGAGAAGCACCAACGTGCGTCAGTGTGACAAGCAGGCAGGTGATGTAGCAGCTAACCGGCACCACACAATGTCTTTACAAAGCAACAGTGCATCAACACTAGCATGTAAAGTAAGCGTGTCCAACCAGGAGTCAGTGGTCAAACTGTAATCCTAGATACTCAGAAGGCTGAGTTCTAAGAATCTCAGTTCAAAGCCAGCCCCGGCAGAAAAGTCCATGAGACTTTTAACTCCGATTAAGTAGCAAAAAATACAGAAGTGGAAGTATGGCTCAAATGGTAAAGCATCAGCCTTGAGCAAAAAAGCCAAGCAAGAATACAGACGTCAAGCCCCAGCATTGGGAAAACAATAAATAGTAAGAAAAAGAAATCTTCAAACCCACAGATTAAATAGCAAAATAATGCGTTAAGGCCATAAAAATGCCTAACATTCCATTAAAGATCAACCAATGTGTCTGAAATCAAAAGAAATCTTCAGGTTAAGTAAATCATTAAGTTACTTTAGAAAAACTAGTGTGTAGCCAATTTTCAGAAAACAAGGAAAAAAATGAAGTATGGCAGTTATTTCGCTCTACTACAGATGATCAAAGACACACACAAGTTCTAGGGCCCAGGTAACGTTTTCCTAACATGAATTTTCTTCCTTTTTGATATACGCCTTTAACCCAAACCTATGTCCCATCTCCTAAGCAAAATCCTTGAGTGTGGAAATTAGGCACGAGGGGCCCACATAGCAGAGAGCATCTTGAGCAAGTGCTGAGTGGTCAAAATGGCAGCGACGGACATACTAACCAAACACAAAGCAAAGCAAAGCAAAGGGCCGCCTTACCAATAATTGCATTGTTCCCTCCAAGTTCTAACAAACTTTTCCCTTTAAGAAAAACAGAAACATAAGTTAATTCCCATGTTTGTATATACTTAAACAATCGCAAATTATAGCCTATCTCAATTTTTTTTAATTCTGATTAATAAAGTAGCGTAACTATTTATCAACATCAAATTTCCTGATCTTTTACCTGTACCATGAGAAAATTATGTGAGAGAACCTATCTTTATGAAATACACTGAAATATGCAGAGGCTAAGAGACACACCTTCCACTGCCACAAAATTCAACAATGACACACACATACTGTGTTTGCATATGTATTGCTAGAGAGAGAGAAATGACTAATGGTGAGAAATATAAGCAGAGAATCAATCTGATGAACAAGAATAAAAAATTCCTGATGCTAGGCCTAACTTTAAGGTCTGGTACCCACAGGGAGGATTGCAACAGTGTAACTGCCTCCAATAACTTACATTCTAACAAGATAAATTCCAGGAAGCTAGAACATGTGTTGTCAGGAGGAAAGGAGACCAACGGGAGGCAGGGCTGACACACTGAGATGGGAAGGGTGGGCTAATGCACTCACAGTATTCAATATACATATGTGAAGATGGAACTGGGTAAATTAAAGGGAGGAGTTGGGTAGGGAGAGATGGAGGAGAATGATGATACTCATCAACATGCCTTGTACTCATAGTTTGACATGGTGAACTGAAGCCCCTTTGTACAACTACCCAATTTTTAAACTATATTAAAAAATAATTTTAAAATATAGGCCATCCGCTGCAGAAACTGCAACAGTGAATTCCCTCAAACACAAGCACACAATGTCCTATGAATTTAGCAATTCCACTTAAGGGTAGGCGACGAACTCTTACATGATCCTATTATTCTTTACTGGAGAGAAAAGGGGCCTCCTGTTTAATAAGAGTCCCCATTTTAATGAGTCTCCTATTTCAGAGACTTCCTTAATATTTAACTACTAACAACTATACCCTTTTACTTAAACATTTAAGTAAATATAAGCAGTATCTCCACGGAAATGGGTCAAGGAAAAAAGTGTAGAAGACAACTGTAAGGCTTTTCACCATACTCCTGGAGAGTCCGATCTTCATGACAGTGCCAACACTTACCAAACCTCTCCTGGACCATGAGGGCCACCTGCTTCCCCACCTGAGTGCTCCCGGTGAAGGACAGCAGGCTCACTCGCTCGTCTCTGGCCATGGCTGTGCTGCGGAGGACAGACATGTCACCCAGGCAGAAACACCCAGCAATGACAGAACCAGAGGGACAGCAGGAAAGCACTAATGGGTTCTCACAAGACAGTCGCCAAGGCTATGTGGAAGCCCAACCCAAGGGTTCAAGGTAAAAATCGTGAAAATGCAATCACCTGTCACAAGTAGATTCACACAGGAAAACAAGCCAACCTGCGTGCTGTGAGCCAAAGAAGGTGGTTTTCCTGTGTGGAGGGACTGCCAGCACAATACGGTCCTGGTATTAGCTTGGTGAGCACACGTGGGGACTTTTTGGTACCTACTATATGATTTGTCTAAAAATTAAAAACACAGGTAATCTAGAGGGAAACAGCCTAGTGTATTCTTTATAAAGAAGCTGACTTATAAAGGCTGTTCTGGGATTTCCAGTTACTTCTAAGGAAGGAAGAGCAGACATTACTGATTTTAACCTCTTTGTCCCTGGCTCAGGGCTTCAAGGGCTTCACTGGGAGCCAAGCAGGGAAGTCTCAGCGTCCATCTAATGCAGGGCTGGACAGCTTGATTAACTTCCCCAGGTTCAGCACACATATACGAACACTCACTGATGCGTCAGGTGGGCTGCTTAGTGCTCGAAACTACTGAGCAGTCCCAAGGCCATCATCAAGGACAGAAAGCCCAGAGGGCCCGAACAGAGTGAGTCAAAGAATGCAATGCTCGTGTTTTAGAGACATCTGGAGAACACCTAACTGCACAGTATGCAGGTGGGAGTTACAGTTTCTGATAAATTCTCAGCTGTAAAAAATAAAAGACTAGCTGATTGCTTCGTTTTCAGATTGCCCAATAAGTACAGTTGTAAGGTAAAGTATTGAAAGAAGACTAACACCTCAGCAATACTAGTATGGTTGTCTTAACTGTTAAGAAACCTCACCAAGTCAAAGTCTAAGCCAAGTACAAACAATCTCAACTTCCATTCAAGTTCAGAGCAAGTACAGCCAGTCCCAGCTTACGGAGGCTGTGACATTAAACCAAGCAGGCACACCACCTAGAGGATGGTTCCATTTATAACTGTAATCCATCTGTGCATCACCTTTACAATAAAAATAATTTTTCAAAGTGTCTTAACTAGGCAAATTCACAAAGACAAAGTCCATTAATGGTTGTCAGAGGCTGGGCAAAAGATAGTGAGAAATAACTGCTGGTGATATAGGATTCTTTCCTGAGTAACATCTGGAATAAGAGAGTGATAATGGTTGTGCAACTATCAACTATGTATTAATCAGTATAAAGATCTATTGATAAGGGCTGGGAAGGTGGCTTAGTGGTAGAGTGCTTGCCTTGCATGCATGAGGCCCTGGGTTCGATTCCTCAGCACCACATATGCAGAAAAAGCCGCAAGTGGCGCTGTGGCTCAAGTGGTAGAGCACTCGCTCTGAGCTGAAGAGCTGAGGGATAGCAACCAAGCCCAGAGTTCAAGCCCCACGACCAACCAAAAAAATAAAAACAAACACAAATGTTAAATGTTAAAGATTTCTAAATGTGAAATTCAAACGTATTAATATCAAGTGAAGATGATAAAATTAAACAATATATTAAAAATAAAATGTTTAAGCCAGGTGCCAGTGGCTCACACCTGTAATCCTAGCTACTCAGGAATCTGAGATCTGAGGATTGCAGGTCAAAACCAGTCTGGGCAGGAAAGTCCATGTGACTCTTATCTCCAATTAATGGTAGAGCCAGAAATAGAGCTGATGCTCAAGTGGTAGAGCTCTAGCCTTGAGCACAAAAGCTCAGGGACAGCGCAATGCCCAGGCTCAGAGTTCAAGCCCCAGAACCAAAAAAACAAACAAACAACCAGAGGCTATGTTCCAGGGCTCCCTTTTCTGGTCCACTGAGAAACTCAGTCAATGGGCTAGTTCCTCAGAAAGTGTGATCTCAGACTACAATTCTAGCACTCCACTTTTGTTTCTAAGCACCTTCAGAAATCAAGCGCCAGAAGTCATGAACAGCCGTTTGTTACTTCAGAATATAAATACTCTATAGCTGGAGATGTAGCTCAGCAGTAGAGCATTTGTCTAGCATGTATGATAAACCCCTATAAACGGTGGCAAATAAAACCCGTATTCCTCATTGGCTAATAGAGGTCCCACACTGCTACAGCAGGCGCCGGAGGAGGTGCACAGCACAGTAGCTCAAGAGACCATCTCATTTCCTGGCTTTGTCATGTAACTGGCTTTGTCACATGGTAAAGGTGATTCCTGATCATCTACCGCGTTCCTTCAGCCGAGCTTCTCCGCAGTCTCCACCTACCCAATGTCTGCTCCGCCACATGTCAAAGAACAAATTGCACCCGGCAGCTTGTTGTTCTCCAGAACTTTGGACACTATCCTAAGAATGGAAAAGCAGTTACTGAGTAAGGTAATCATTCAGTTTTTTAAAGACCTTTCAAAGGTAAACTCCATGGGCTGAACGTGTAGCTCAGTGGTTACAAGGCCTACCTAGCCAAACTCAAAGGCTCCAAGTTCAAACCTCAAAGTCACCAGTAAGTAAACGAATAGATTTCAACTTTCTTCTTTTCCAACTTTATCTCATATTTCTTCAAAGATTTTCTTTTTTTGTCAGTTGTGGGGCTTAAACTCTGGCCTGGGCGCTGTCTCTCAGCTCTTCAGCTCAAGGCTAGCGCTCTACCACTTGAGCTACAGCGCCAGTTATGGTTTTCTGAGTGGTTTATTGGAGATAAGAGTCTCCTGGACTTTTCTGCCCAGGCTGGCTTTGAACCATGATCCTCAGATCTCAGCCTCCTGAGTAGCTAAAATTACAGGCATGAGCCATCAGTGCCTGGCTTTTTCAAGTATTTTCTTACAATAAACACAGAAACACAACTGGTAGAACTATTTTGTTTTTTTCCTAAAAGAATCTTAAAATACAACATAAACAGAAGACATGAAGCACCGCTCAAGTGGTTTTAGGAGTTTTTGGCTAAAATGGCAGATTGGAAGCTGGGAGTAAACCTTGGTAATAATGCAAATGCTTAAGTATGGGCCAGGGCCTGGGTTCATAAGTTTTGCATTGTTTTCTTTTTGACATAATACATTTGAACACATCTCTGCAAATCAGAACTCTGTAAAAGAACAGTAAAAGAAAAAGTGGAAAGAGGAAAAGATCTCCCAACACTGACAAAAGTCTAACCCAAAACCATGCCCAGGCTAGGCACTGTGGCTCTTGTCTATAATCCCTGCTTCTCTGTAAGGTGAGATCTGATCATTGAGGCTTGATGCCAGCCTGAGCAGAAAAGTCCATGGCACTCTTATCTGCAATTAACCAGCAAAAAGCCAGCAGTAGAGCTATGGCTCAAGTGATAGAGCACCAGCCTTGAGTGATAAAGCTAAGAGAGAATGCCCTGGCCCTGAGTTCAAACCCCCATGACTGGAACACACATATAAAGAACCATGCCCAGCAGGTGTTAGGTTTCCTAAGAGTTGAGCCATTTTCAATTTGTACAATTCTTTCTGTGTAAAAAGCATGTGCACAAGTTGATAGTATTTTGTTTAAAAGCTAGGGTTTTCCTCTGTACTCAAGGTAGAATTAATAAAATCCTTCACCTAATATATGAGAATCTAGCAGTCAGTAAAATTCTGTTCTCTGTTTATCTGATACCATACATGTTAGTTATAGTCAGACATCGTAGCTCACACCTATGGTCCCAGTACTTGGGAGGGAGAGGCAAGATGATTAAGAGTTCCAGGACAGCCTAGACTACACAGCAAGACCTTGCTTAAAAATGAAAAACAACAGGCCGGGCACCAGTAGCTCATGCCTGTAATCCTAGTTACTCAGGAGAGGCTGAGATCTAAGAATCACCATTCAAAGCCAGCCTGGGAAGGAAAGTCCATGAGACTCTTATCTCCAATTAATCACCAAGTGGTAAAGTCCCAGCCTTGAGTGGAAAACGCTAAGGGGCAACACCCAGCCCTTGAGTTCAAGCCCCAGTACCAACCAGCATACACAACAAAACATATTTCTTAAGCAATGTGGTGGATGGTAAAAATAACTCCATTGCAGACCAGGACAACTATGTATGAACTGTAAATGGAAATGCACATTTTCTAGGCCCCCTGAATTCAGGGACACTTGTAACTACATATCCCTTGTGGTGCCTATACAACTTCTAAAACTGTGAAAAAAAGATTGTCTGTGGCTTCTGTGGGCCACAGGGCATGGAAGGCAGGGTAACTCCCACACTTGACCAATGAGGAACTCAAGTCCCACCCCTTTGGGGCAGGGTAACTCCCACACTTGACCAATAAGGAACTCAAGTCCCACCCCTTCGGGACAACACTGGCTGAAGAGGAGGCCAGTGCCACTGCCCTGCAAACTCTACTCCTGGACCACATCCTTCTGCATGCAGGGACTGGGAACATGCAGCCCCCCCCCCCAAGGCCTGCAACACTGTGCTCCTCATATGCTTTCTTCAGCTGCCCACAGCCATCTACCTGCATTGATAATTTTGTATGGGTTAGGGGCTGGGAAGGTGGCTCAGTGGTAGAGCGCTTGCCTTGCATGCCTCTGAGGCCCTGGGTTCGATTCCTCAGCACCACATAAGCAGAAAGAAAAAAGCCGGATGTGGCGCTGTGGCTCAAATGGTAGAGTGCTAGCCTTGAGCTGAGGGACAGCGCCCAGGCCCAGAGTTCAGGCCCCACAACCGGACCAAAAAAAAAAATTTTTGTATGGGTTAAAAATGATGTTAAACAAAGTTCTCCATTCCTTGTTAGCAATAAGCTCCCTATAAACAATTCAAGAGTGCTGACCATTCAACACCAAGTATTCCCTAAATTCCACATTGATAACCCATAGCACTGATTTTTAGGTTATCAGAGGTTATACTCTCATAAATGGAGAAATACAATAGTAATAATTGTGTGTGTGTGTGTGTGTGTGTGTGTGAGTACCAGGACCTGGCATTTTCTCACTGGCTTATTTCCTCAAAGTGCTGGTTAATTGGAAATAAAGTCTCAAGGCCTTTTCTGAACAGACTGACTTCTAAAAGCAATCCTCCAGGTTTCAGACTCCTCCATAAGTAAGATTACAAGCATTAGACATGTACACCCAGAAATACCAATAATTTTTTAACCAATAAACTCAATACACACAAATCAGTGACAGTGGATCGAGGTAATAATCAGTTCTTTTTATGTTGTTAATTAAACAACAACAATAAAAGTACTATCTGGCAAGAAATCTGTTCTCAACACCATTAATTTATTGGATGATTAACAAATACTGCTCCTAAACTGCTAGAATCTTTCTTCTCCACTATAGATGTTTTTATTTTCCAAGTGATTAAAAAAATGCCTAGATAAGTACAACACCAAGTCACCCTCTGGAATGTTTCCAAAGAAATAAATAATAAATGGCTTGAAAAGAACTGTGTAGGCTACATAATGATATAAAAATGTTATTGTAACCAAAGGAGAAAAGGTTATACAAATTCCATCCTTAAATAAACATGACAGTTTTACAGCAGATTAAAACCATAGGCCTATCAAGTCATCCTTTCAAGATTATACCTTACTTAGCAAAGAGCCACGTGTACTTACTTAGTGACTGCTACGCTGGTGAGCGAAGTCGTTGGCGCTCCTTTCCTTCAGATAGTAAGAGACAAAAGAAAAGAAATTCAACTTGAAGAAAATCATAAATACATGTGTGTGTATGTGTGTGTGTGTGTGTGCGTGTGAATGAGAGAGAGAGATAGAGAGAAAGAGAGAAAGAAAGAGGAGGCTGGGAAGGTAGCTCAGTGGTAGAGCGCTTGCCTTGCATGCCTGAGGCCCTGAGTTCGATTCCTCAGCACCACATAAGCAAAATGAAAAAAGCCAGAAGTGGCACCGTGGCTCAAGTGGTAGAGCACTAGCCTTGAGCTGAAGAGCTGAGGGACAGTGTTCAGGCCCACGACTGGACCAAAAAAAAAAAAAAAAGAGAGAGAGAAAGAAAGAGAGAGTGTGTTCTGGGGCTTGAACTCAGGGCCTGGGTGCTGTCCCTGAGCTTTTTGCTAAAGGCTATTGCTGTACCACTTTAGCCACAGCTCCACTTTCAGCTTTATTGGGTGGTTAATTGGGAGATAGTCTCAGAGACTTTGCTACCCAGGCTGGCTTCAAATCTCGATCCTCAGATCTCAGTCTCCTGAGTCGATAGGATTACAGGTGTGAGTCACCAGCACCTGGCTATATATACCTTTTATTACCAAGCAGAAGCAAAAATGTTCTTGAGGGGAAAAAAATTACTTCCTATTAGACAATTGTCCAATTAGAGAATAGAAATGTCTCTGGGACGTAAGGACTACAGATCTTCATGATGTATGACATATGCAGCCATATGGGAACTCTTACATTCCCCTCTGCCAAGTACGGCAATGCAGTAAAGTAGAAATCCATCAAGCACCAGCCATTTGGATTTAAATGTTGGGATGCATGGATTTCTTTGAAAATGGGGGCCAAACCATTCATCTTTTTGCCTATGCTTTGTTTTACAGATTGACTTTCAGATTATCCAACTGTGGGCAGCACTTAAAATCAGTATTCCCGGCTAGGCCTGGGGACACATGCCTATAATCCCAATCAATACTCAAGAGGCTAGGATAGGAAAATCTGGAGTTCCTGGTTAGCCTGGGCTACACAGAAAAACCTTGTATCAAAGGAAGCAAATAAATAAAAATAAAGTACATCTGTAGAGGAACCAGATACACAGAGACTGTGATATACTGATCCCTGGGTAGGAAAATGAGCAGAACTTACCAAAGGCAGACGTTTCCAGCAATCATGGCGATGGCATTGTTCCAGCCATACACTGCCACAGGGAAATTGAATGCAGTAATGATTCCCACCAGGCCTAAAGGATTCCACTGCTCGATGAGGGCGTGGCCAGGTCCTGAGGATGGGGGGACACAGAGCATGCTCAATGCCAACAAAGGTAATTAAGAACCAAGTCTGGAATCATCTTTAAAGCAACAGTACATACTCTAGACCAAGAGGATGCCAAGTGCTTTCCAGTGACCACTTACACAGCTGTAGGACATGGACAATTTTAAGGTAAAACAGAATTGTTTATTGTCAACCACAATGATAATCATTGTGCTTCTGAATCTCACAGGAGCTACATAGATAAGTCTCCCAGCTGGGAGACAAGGAAACGTCCCATTAGTCAGGGGCATCTAAGAGATGTGACTGCACACAAGTCCCGACTGTCACAGTGGCACTCTTTGTGTTACCTGATGAGACACTGGGCCAAGCTCTCTCAACGTAAGATAAGGTGTCTCCTCAGCCTTACAGTGAATGAATGAGCTTCTACTTATACTCACGATGAGAAAATTAAAACTATAGGGGCTGGGGAACATAGCTCAGTGGTAGAGCCCTTGTCTTGCATGTGAAACAGCCTAGGTTTGGTCCCCAGGGTCACCAAAAAGAAACAGAAAGAGAAAATAGAAATAGAAATCGATTGTAATAATAAACTTTAAAGTCAACCTTAATCCCACATAGTCTTCTTTTAATCGAAGGCAGATGGAACGGAGAACCAGAACAAAGGCTGTCTGTGCACAGACTCAGGCGAAAGCCCCAGCTCCACTGCCTGGCACAGCCATCAGCCCTCTGGCCACATTCATGTTGTTACCTAGGCCTGGGGAATGTGCCAGGTGACGCACCACACTCCCAGGTCCCTGCAGCTAGGCAGGGCCTTCCTCCTCTCTCCTGTCCTTGCCCTTCTGCCTTGCTGACCTCTCTCCCTTTGTTTATAACCCTCTGCTCTCTGGATCAATACTGTAAGCACTCTGGATGAAGTTCAAACTCCTCCAGTTCCCTGCCCCTGTACTGCACCTTCCAGATGTACTGAACCAAGATGGCCCAATGGCCCAGATAAGCCAAACTCTCCCATCTGTGTGTGTGTGTGTGTGTGTGTGTGTGTGTGTGTGTGTGTGTGTGTGTGTGTTAGTTCTGGGGAAGAACTTAGGGCCTGGGCTTTTGTGTTCAAGGCTTGCACTCTACCACTTAAGCCCCATCTCCACTTCTGGCTTTTTGCTGGTTAACTGTAGATAAGAGTCAAAGCCTACCCAGGCTGGCTTCGAACCACCATCCTCAGATCTCAGCCTCTTAAGCAGCTAGTACTACAGGAGTGTGCCACCAGTGCCCAGGCCCCATCTTACACTTTTAAACAGGTTTCTTCCCTATTGGAAGCAACCCCTCACCCCAGTCCCAATTTGTGATCTCTTGAGGTCTTCAGTTTGGTTATCTCACTTAAGTGGTCCTTCCTGCAAGCGCATGCAGACTGGGGTAAGGACACCCTATATGATCACCTCCTACCCTCCACCTGCAGAGCACCTGCCATGCTCAAGCGTGATCTCCTGCTCAAAACACAAGGGACTTGTTTTCAAGCTTAGGAATTCTGAGGCTGGAGACTATACCTTACGGACCATGTTATCATCTATTCCACATTATCACCTATTAGACAGCCTGGAATACAGTCTGCAACATTTACTGAAGTCCAAGTTATCCCCAAATATCTGCATAGATGATTTTTTGAATGAGTCAGGTGTGGTAGTGCACACTCCAGAAGTCCAATGATCATAAATTTGGGACCAGTCTGGGCCACATAGCAAGACTCTGTCTCTACCACTTGAGCCATGCCTCCATCCTTAAGGGATATATAACTTTTATAAACATTTAAGACATGCTAATAGCCTACTAGAATTAGCTTAATGTTTCCCTGCTAGTTTAGCACTTAAGTCATTTCTAATCTCTCTGGAGGCTGAAATAAACAATTTGCTCATAAACCTCTATTACATTTTAGATTATTTACTTAAGACACTTAAAATTTGCTTTCAGGGTAAGGCTCTTTGAGAGTGTACTTTCTGATTGTTTTCTAAATGGTTAAAAAAGTATGATACCCACAGATTTCCCAAAACTATTATCTTTAAAGCAAAATAACGATGATTCTTTATCTGATGTCTTACTTTGCTTTCTTAGAAAATAAAGTTATTTTCAGCCAGGGACTGGTTTCTAGCACCTATAATCCTAGCTATCTGAAGTACTGCTGTTTAAGCCAGCCCTGTTTGAAAAGCTCAAAAGACTATTTCCAATTAGCCAGCAAAAACCCACACCAAAGGTGTAGCTCAAGTGGTAGAGTAGCAAGCTGAACAAACTAGCCAAGTAAGTATAAGAGTAAGCTAGCCAGGTGAGCTCAAGCTCTGATGCTGACACATACAAAAAAGAAGTGAAGGTATTTTCATTTATTTTATCTCAGTTACAACTCCTCTTTTGCGAAACTTCGCAGCCACAGCATTTTTGCAGTTCTCTGTATTAGCACGAAGCTCTTGGCTATCCCAGCTTCCCGGCTTACTTTCTGAAGGTAGGATGGGTCCTCCAATCATCCTGGACAAGCCCACGGCATAGTCACAAACGTCCACGTACTCCTGAACCTCCCCCACACCTTCCACTAAGATCTTGCCCATCTCCAAGGACACCTAAGTGCAAAGTAAAACATTGATTTGTGATTGACCATTTTGTGAGAGCAATAAACCAAGAAGAAAAGTCTATTCTTACTTTCTGAAGAATTTTAAAACCATATACTTTTCTTCACGTTTTCCTATCTATTTCAATCTTTCCTCTAAAACAGGATTTTTTGTTGTCATACTGGGGTTTGAATTCAGGGCTTCATGCTTGTTAGGCAGAAGCTCTACCACTTCAGCCACTTTTAACCCTAAAGGAAGAATTTTTGAAATTTACAAATTGCATTTCTTAAAAATTCACCATCTTCTACACAGAAATACTTGACCTTCTTATTTCTTATTTGTCTATCTCTTTATGTAATTTTTGTACCAGTACTGGGGCTTGAACTCAGGGTCAGGGCACTCTCCCTTAGCTTTATCACTCAAGGCTGGCACTCAACACTTGAGCAACAGCTCCACTTGTAGTTTGGAGCTCATTAACTGGAGGTGAGAATCTCTGCGACTTTCCTGCTTGGGCTGGCTTCAAACTAGGATCCTCAGATCAGCCTCCTGAGTAATGAGGATTTTAGGCATGAGCCACTGATACCTGGCTGGAGAGCGTTCTTTATATACACAAACACTTTACCAAGCTTCCCAGAACTTGGATCTTCTCTCGTAAGGCATCTCCAATCTGTCTTACGATCTCTCCACGCTTTGGAGCAGGAATCTAAGAGAGAGAAAATTTGGTTTCTGTCGTAAAGTGTACATTCATGTCTAAAACAGGCTGGATGGGCATTGGATGAAAACAAGGTACAATCACCTCAAACAACATTTTTTTTTATCACAACAGAGATTGTGATATGCTAAACACTGAGACTACAATTACAAGTGATACCTCCAAGGAGCTAATACCTCTGAAGAAGGGATAGAAGGAATTAGAACAACCACAAATAGTCACAAATTGCCAGCAGGGCTGAAAAGACCAAGGAAACCCAATGGGACTGAAACTCAGAAAAAAGCAAGACAAGAGACAGAGAATATCACTAAGGTGAGAAAGTAGACTTGAGGCCTGAAGGATGGAAAAAGTCAACCATAGGAACATGCTTCTAATGGAAAAGACTTCTTTGAAAGCAGTCTGACGGGAGAGCCAGTGTATGGATAGCTAGATGATTTTAAGGAGTCAGAATCTTAGTCAAGATACAATGTGAAATCATCAGTGGTATTTAACTCAAATGAACTAAATGAAACTGGTTTGCTCTAGCACAGTCAACGCTCTCACAAAGAATCTTCCCCACTCAGGACAATCCAAAAGGAATAATACCTCTTTAAGAGTGCAACAAGCTGTCTGTTTTGTTGTTGTTGTTGCTTTGATTACTTGAGCTTGGTTTTTGAGACAGATCTCAATACATAGCTTAGACTGATCAAGAGCTAGGGTGCTGGCAATCCTCCTGCCTGAGATTGCTGTGGGAATTAAAGGTATCACCCTGCCCAGCCAACTTAGTTCTTGTCTGAGGTATAAACCCACTACCTCTCTGCATCACTGACCACAGCGATGCACATTATTTTCCCACAGCCACAGAAGCACGGTTAGGAACAATTCCGTCTCTCCCTTAAACTTTGAACTTGATTGCTTAACACAAATTCTAATCAAAGGAATGGCATGCACCAAAACCTAGCTTGCTCATTTTGTATTGAAGAGATTGGGGCTAAGGAGACCTAATTTGATTATGATACTTACTGTGCTGGGGCTCAAACCTAGAATCTAGAGCATATTCCACAAGTACTCCACCACTGACTTACACACCCACCTCTCTAGACCTCTTTTTTGGGGAGGTGGGGGAAGGAGCATTCTCAGCATATAATCTCAGGCAGACCTTGAACTCTAGATCTTTCTACCTCTTCTTAGTGAAATTGCCAGCATGCACCACCACATCTGTCTTCCATTCCTCCAATTTAACTTTTGTTACCTATTTATTTTGTGTGAATCAGAAATGAGGTTTGAACTCAGAGCCTCCCACATTCACTTTTCTTTTCTACTCACTTTTCTTCCCAGACTGTCTTCAAACTCGGATCCTCAGACCTCAGCCTCTTGAGTAACTAGGATTAAAGGTGTGAGCAACCAACACCCAGATCCTTTCTTATTCTTAAACAAGAGATAATGCATTACTTTTATGTAAGAACATTTTTTTAAAAAAATTGGTCCTAGGGGGCTGGGAAGGTGGCTCAGTGGTAGAGCACTTGCCTTGCATGCATGACCCTGGGTTCGATTCCTCAGCACCACATAAGCAGAAAAATGGAAGTGGTGCTAGTTCAAATGGTAGAGCACTTAGCCACTAAGGGACAGCGCCCAGGCCCAGAGTTCAAGCCCCACAAGTGACCAAAAAGAAAAAAAAAATTGGTCCTAGTATTTGTGCTTGAACTCAGGGCCTGGATGCTGTCCCTTTTCTTCTTCATTCACAGCTGGAGTTCCACCACTTAAGCCATACCTCCACTTCCAGTTTTTTGGTGATTAATTGAAGATAGGAATCTCACAGGCTTTCTAGCCTGGTCTGACTTCAAACCTTGATCCTTAGAGTTCAGCCTCCTGAGTAGACAGGATTATAGGAATGGGCCACAGTGCCCAGCTTGAGAAAGAAAATTTCCTAAGTAATAAGTGACACTGCTCTGCACACAATCCTCTGCCCAGGTAGATGAGCTATCATCTCCACATTGCTGCACTGTAGAAAGAACACTTTTCCTTGTGGACAGCAGAACTCAGAATTAAAGAGGAGGAAGGGTGTAATCCCTGCTCTGCCCAGGACAGTCTTGGCTAAGCGGAGTCTACATCCAGCGCAGGGCTCTCTGGAGAGTCTTCTCTTCCTACCACCCCACTTCTAGCCCCCTTGTAATCATTGACTCAGAGAAAACACTGGGCTCAAAGTGTTTCGCAAATCCTGCAGCACTTAGTTCTGCCCCACACTGAACCTTGCACACCGTGGGCTCTACTGTTAGCACTTGCAATAATCTGTCAGTGATTCGATCCTCACAACAGCCCCAGCCTCACTTTGACCATTCCGAGGATGGAAGGCAAAGGGAGACTGGGAAATCCAGGCCTTCTCTGCTCTCTGTTACTGTCGCTCCAAGAGGGCTGCCCCCCACCTCACTGACAGATCAGAACCCAGCCCAGTGCCAGCCGCAGAGTCCACATTTCCGCATTTTATCTCCTGAGGGAGATTCAGAGATCAAGGGGGGAGACTGTGCCTCACAAACCATGGGGGCCCTGTTCCTGAGAAAGGCACATGGCCTTCTATAGACACCCCCCCCAGGTAAATCTGGAGGGGGAAGGAAGAACAAATAGGTATTTCTCCATTCTATGTACTCTACTATAACTTAATTGGAGTATAAGGTGTTCATACCTGCAGCTTATATGCCACCAGGACAGAGTTCTAACCCATTAACAATAACCCATGCATTGGATGTCAAACCCAGGAAAGACACAAGCCCAAAAACAGGTAGAAATTGATCACAGCTCTAAGCAGTGCACATTTCAACAATGTCGCATGTGTGTCGTGTGTGTGTGTGTGTGTGTGTGTGTGTGTGTGTGAGAGAGAGAGAGAGAGAGAGAGAGAGAGTACTAGAGCTTAAACTCAGAGCCTGGACACTGTGTCTTAGCTTTTTCACTCAAGGTTGATGCTCTACCCCATGTACCACAGCTCCACTTCTAGCTTTTTGCTAGTCAGTTGGAGTTAAGACTGTTATAGAGGGGCTGGGAAGGTAGCTCAGTGGTAGAGCACTTGCCTTGCATGCCTGAGGCCCTGGGTTCGATTCCTCAGCACCACATAAGCAAAAAGAAAAAAGCCAGAAGTGGTGCTGTGGCTCAAGTGGTAGAGTGCTAGCCTTGAGCTGAAGAGCTAAGGGACAGCGCCCAGGCCCAGAGTTCAGGCCCATGACCGGACCCCCCCCCAAAAAAAAAAAGAAATCAAAGCAAAAAAGACTGTTACAGACTTTCCTACTTGCACTGGCTTCACACCTCAATCCTCAGATCTCAGCCTCCTGAGTAGCTAAGTCTACAAGCATGAGGCACAGTGCCTAGTGTACAATCCATCTTCTCACAGCTGTCACAGGTGACCCTCCTGAGCTTCCCACCACACAGGCCACACTTACATCTGCCCAGACTTTCCAAGCCTCTCTTGCTTTCTTCACAGTTTCTTCATAGTCTGCCATACTGGCCTAAATTCAGAATTAGGGAAAACGAAAAGGAATTAAAAATGGATGATCTACTTCCAGAAACGTGAAAAATATCTCTATTTCTAAAAATTATCTTGGGGCTGGGGATCTAAATAGCAGAGGGTTTTCCTAGAATGGGCAAAATCCTGGGTTCCATCCCCAGTGCTGCAAATAAATAAATTAATAGAAAATCTGGCTATATCCAGGCGCTGGTGGCTCACACCTGTAATCCCAGCCACTCAGGAGGCTGAGATCTGAGGATTGTGGTCCAAAGCCAGCCCAGGCAGGAAATTCCGTGAGACTCTTATCTCCAATAAACCACTAGAAAACCGGAAGTGGCATTGTGGCTCAAGTGGTAGAGCGCTCGCCTTGAGCAATCCCAGCAGGATGGAATGCTGCTGGGCTTTAAAACCTTGCTTTTCAAAGCAAGTTCTACTAGCTTCCCCTAGGAAGATACCTGATCTGCATTAGAAAAGTAGAACCTCTAGCTCAGCACAAAGGCTCACACTTTAACTCCCAACTACTCAAGAGGAGGAGATGAGGATCTTTTTGCCTGGGCAAAAAGATAGCAAGACTCCCATCCCTATGTGGTAATGAATATCTGTAATTCCAGCTACTTGGTAGGCAGAAGCAGGAGGATAATAAATTCAAAGTCAGACTAGGCAAAAGGTAAAGAGACCCTACTTCAAAGACACTATAAAGCTGGGCACTGGTGGCTCATGCCTTTAATCCTAGTTACTCAGGAGGTTAAGACCTGAGGATCATGAGATCTGAGGAGTGAGGTAAAAAGCCAGCCCACGCAGAAAGTCCAAGAGACTCTTATCTCCAATTAACCACTAGAAAACCAGAAGTGAATCTGGGCCTCAATCTAGCCTTGAGCAAAAGAGTTCAGAGACAGAGCCCAGACCCTGAGTTCAAGCTCCATGACTGACCAAAAAACAAAAACAAAAAACAGACAAAATAAATAAAAAATAAAAGCAACAGTGCTAGTGACTAAGCTCAAGTGGTAGAGCACTTTAAAAAGAGACTACTCTGCATTTAGATGTATCTATATTACTTTTTTTTCAGTTATGAGGCTTGAGTTCAGTGCCTAGATACTGTCCCTTACCTTTTTATGCTCAACACTAGTGTGTTACCACTTTGAGCCACAGCACCACTACCAGTTTTCTGGTAAGATAAGAGCCTCACAGATTTTGCTGTCCAGGCTGACTTGAACCATGATCCTCAGATCTCAGTCTCCTGAGTAACTAGGATTACAGATGTGAGCCACAAGTGCCAGGCTTGTATTACTCTTGAGTGACACAAACTTCCTGAGAGCAGTTAGAATTTTAAAAACTCACCTGTCGAACTCTTGCTATTGGCTCATTGTTAGCAGGACAATAGGTTGTAATAACCTGAAAAAAGATAGAAACTATTATACACAGAAATACATTATCTTGCCCATGTAATTGTAACCCCTCTGTACAGTATTTTCACAATAAAAAAAGAAAATATTATACACAGAAATAATAATCCTCTCCAAATTGAGAGAACCATACAAACAGGGAGAAGAAAACAGAAGGAAAACAAAAAATGAAATACAAGTTTAAATGAGAAACATTTCCATTAACTACTATTATAATTAAACCCCTACAGGTCTTTGACTTCTAACCTAAACATTAGGAACCACCTTTCTGGAGGATCTACTTTTTCCACCTAAGTATCAGCTATATACAAAAAAAAAAAAAAAAAAAAAGCCCTAATGTAACCGGTTATTTGAACAAATAAAGCCAGACCCTGTAGCCTGTACCTAGAATCCAGCTGCTCAGGAGGCAGAGGCAGGTGGATTGTGGCAAAAGGCTGTACCACAGAAATGCGCAAGACCTACCTGAAAAATAAACTAAAAGCAAAAGGACTGCGGAGTGACTCAAGTGGTCCTGCATGTGGCCTAGGACGCAGGAAGCCCAGAGTTTAAAAAGCAATAATAATAATAATAAAAAGCCACAAGAAAAACAGGATGAAACTTCTAGTTCCACGTCTGTGAAACATTTAAAATCACTTATATCTCCTACAATCACAGAAAACCATACCGCCATACTTCCTCCAACAAAGCAGATTCAGTATGTAACTTTTTTTTTCTTTGTGCCAGTACTGGGTCTTGAACCCAGGGCCTAGACACTGTCCCTTACCTTTTCATGCTCAAGGCCTACGCCCTACCACTGGAGCCCGGCTCCACTTCCAGAGTTTCGCTGGCTAATGAAAGGTAGGAGTGTTACAGACTCTCCTGCCCAGGCTGGCTTCACACCGTGATCCTCAGGTCTCAGCCTCCCGAACAGCTAGGGTTACAGGCGTGCGCTGCCCGCGCCCCACAGACAGAAAACACCCAAGAAAGCGGGGGTGTTTCACTGATCAGAAACCGGGCGCCGCGGAGCCTGGAAGCTTCTGGTCGGGCTCTGCACCCCCCCCAAGGGGCACCAGCCGAGTCCGGCCGCGGGTGCGAACCCGGGCGCCCCTACCTCTCCCCGACCGCCCCAGCTCCCGTTGTACACGCCCTCGTTTTCCTCGCCCAGCCCCAGCTCCTTGAGCCAAGCAAACTGGGGCTGGTGGATCAGCAGGGTGGACATGAAGGCGACAGGCCCGCTCCGGGGTTCGGGAAACGCGCGGCACTTCACGGCGCGCACCCTCAGCGCGCGGGCCGAACGCCACATCCCCAAGGCCGCGCCCGGAACCCCGCGGCGGCGCCGGGGCGCCGCTGAAATAGAGCCCCGCCCCCTTCCAGAGAGCGCGCATTGGCCGGCCCCGGCCCCGCCCATGCCCCGCCCCCTGCCGGAGGGCGCCCATTGGTCGTGCCCGGTCCCGCCCATGCCCCGCCCCCCACGGCGCCCGCCCTCCTCCGTCCCCTGCCACTCCCCCTTCCCACTGCTCCTCCCCGCTGGGAGGGAGCGTGGGGGCTGCGGCCCGCTGGTGAGAGACCCGGGAACCTTGGCCGGGCTGGAAATGCTTTTCAGCAAAATCTTGGCTCTAAAGTACAGGAGATTAGAGCAGAGCCAATCAGGCTGCAGCAGTGCCGTTGGTGCGCATTCTGATTCCACTGCGTTCTGGGCTGCTCGCTCCTCCCCCTCCTCCTGAGTGCTAGAACTCAAGGCCTTGCTCGCTGTGTGTGTGTGTGTGTTTGTGTTTGTGTTTGTGTTTGTGTTTGAACTCGGGCCTCTCTCTCTCTTTCTCTCTCTCTCTCTCTTTCTCTCTCGATCTCAGGGCATTGCACTCTTGTTTGGCTTTTACCGCTCAAAGTTGGCACTCTACCACTCAAGCCACACTTCCACTTCCAGCTTTGTGCTGGTTAATTGGAGTAAAAGCTTCTTAGAACTTGGAAGGCACACCTGTAATCCTAACTACGCTGAAGCCTGAGATCTGAGGACTGCAAGAAGCCCATCCAGCCAGACTCTTATCCCCAATTAACTATTCAAAAGAAGCCGAAAGTGGAGCCGCAGCTCAAGTGCTATAGAGAGCTAGCCTTGAGCAAAAGCAGCTCAGGGACAGTAATGCTCCCTACAAGCCAACAGGAGCGGCAAAAAGAAAAAAGGGTGTTTTGGAGTTCTCCACCTGGGCTGGCTTCCAACTGCAATCCTCAGACCCCAGTCTCCTGAGTAGCTAGGATTGTGTCTTTTCTTTAAATTTTGTCCTGAAGTTTGAATTCAGGACCCAAACTTGCAAGGCCGGCACTCTTACACTTAGGAGCCATGTCTCCAGACCAGTTTTTTTGCTGGTTAATTCACAAAGCTGACAAGGAAGGTTAGCTTCTTTTCCTTTACCAAATCATTAGCAGGGTCATGGGTATCTTTCTAAACCAGTTCTGGGAAGACAGGACCCAGCAACGGCCACTCTTGAAAACTAGGGCCACCTTTGAAAACTAGGGTACCTGGCTCCGCACCTCCTCTTTACAAAATTCACCGGCCCTGCCGCACAGACAAGGGACCATCTGAAACAATGAGTTCCCTGCCCTTTTAAGAGGAAAAGGGATGGCCCCCAGGGCATGGTGTGTATTAAGCATGAACTCTACCACATCCCCAGTCCCAGGAGCAATGAATTGATAAGAACAGGAAAAGATAGAACTGAATGGGTCACAAGAGAAAGCCTATGGAAACGCAGAACCCTGAAGAAATGGAAATGTACTCACTGAACACAGGAGCTTTGAACCAGTTCCGAGTTAGAAGTGGCACAATTTGCAAATAGCCTGTGGCCTCTCCTAATGACCATCAAAGATGTTGCAGGGTAGTGATTAGATACAGATTACTTCTACTTAGAATAGCCTGGGTGTTTGCTGGTAGACTTTCTTTCAGAAGGTATAGCCTAAACAGAGCTACCTGCCCCACTGCAATGTTAAATGAGGGAAATCACTGCCACCCCTTTTCTAAAGCTCAGAACCTGACTTGTCAGTGCCGTTTTTCTGGTAAGACTTTTTTGGGGCAAACTCTTACTAATCAAGTTCTTTAAAAAAATGCAGGACTGGGGCTGGGAAGGTGGCTCAGTGGTAGAGCGCTTGCCTTGCATGCATGAGGCCCTGGGTTCGATTCCTCAGCACCACATAAGCAAAAATAAATATCTTAAAAAAAAATGCAGGACTGAGAATGTGACTTAGTGGAAGAGTGCTTGCCTAGCATGCATGAAGCCCTGGGTTCGATTCTTCAGTACCACATATACAGAAAAAGCCAGAAGTGGTGCTGTGGCTCAAGTAGTAGAGTGCTAGCCTTAAGCAAAAGAAGTTCAAGGACAGTGCCCAGGCCCTGAGTTCAAGCTCATACATACATATATATGTGTGTGTGTGTGTGTGTATGCAGAGTACCGGATTATTTGAGAGAGAAAATTATCTCCTGAGAAGACTAGCTATTCAAATCTATTCAAATCCTCTCTGGAGGGCCTGGGAAGGTGGCTCAGTGGTAGAGTGCTTGCCTTGCATGCATGAGGCCCTGGGTTTGATTCCTCAGCACCACATAAGCGGAAAAAAGCCAGAAGTGGTGCTGTGGCTCAAGTGGTAGAGCGCTAGCCTTGAGCTGAAGAGCTGAGGGACAGCGCCCAGTTCTAGAGTTCAGGCCCCACGACCGGCAACAAAAAAAAAAAAATTCCTCTCTGGAGGGGCTGGGAAGGTGGCTCAGTGGTAAAGCCCTTGCCTTGCATGCTTGAGGCCCTGGGTTCGATTCCTCAGCACCCATAAGCCAAAAAAAAGGCCAGAAGTGATGCTGTGGCTCAAGTGGTAGAGCGCTAGCCTTGAGCTGAAAAGCTTGAGGGACAGCGCCCAGGCTCAGAGTTCAGGCCCACGACTGGACCCAAAAAAAAAAAATCCTCTCTGGAGGAGAATGTTGTTTAAGAGGCCTAGAATCAGCCAGGCAGTAATGATTTATTACTGGTCAAGGAAGAAGAGCTGTGGCCTTGAATGAAAAGATCAGGGATTTTGTTAGGTAAACTTACATGTGTGTAGATAGGAAAGGTGCACCAGCAAGGGTAGTGGTAGGCACATTCCTGTGCATGCTCAATTCAGTGTCCTAATCGTGGTCTAACAGGATGAACACTAGCACCTTTGGTACAATTTAACATTATAATAAGGTTAAGTTTACTTTGGGTCATTTAAAAAGAATGAGCCAGAGTATCTCGGTGATTTGGGATGGTCTGTGTAAATTTCTTCTAAGATCCTTAGCTGGCACACACACACACATACACACACGTGTACACACACACAGACACACACGCACACACACACACGGAAAAAAGAAAGAAAGAAAGGCTGGTGGGCAGACATGCAAACCCAAGTGCTGGGTAGGATGTGAATCCACTAAAATTTTCATTGATTGCTGACTAAATAAATTTAATATAAATGTTTTGGGATTTTCATAAAGTCCTAGCTAAATCTCCAAAGCATTATATCAAGTGAGAGAAGCCAGATACAAAAGACAACAGTAAAATCAGTCCATACACAAGATAATATGGGAAAGAGGCTGGGAATAGTGATGGACTGAGGTTGGTAAGACTCCCCAAAGTCAGGCCTCTGACCTATAACTTTGGTAATAGTTTTGTTAGCTATAGGATACTGGAAAACTATGTATGGGAAAACCAACCACATTTAGAACTCAAGATGGCTTGGTAAGTTTCTGCTAAACTCCTACATTCCATCGCATGATAAGAGAAATTGATTTGGGATGGATTTTCTTTTTGCAGTTCTGGGCCTTTCGCATACTAAACACTCAACCACTGAGCTATACTCAACCCCAACCAATATTTCTTCATCGCCTGTCCTTCCAGTGCACAAAGTCACTGAGCCAGACACGTCAGGAAACAGTGAATAGAGCAGATCTGTTAGTGGGAAATTCTGACACAAAATAAATACACTACTACTGATGTCCTGAAGAAGGCCATGGGTTTGAGAATGGTGTAGGTATTCTGTTCTACTTAGGGAAATTGAAAAGGCTGAATGCCTCTTTGAGATGACATTTGGTCAGACTGCTGGACTTCTTTTTGCTCTACTCAGATAAGAATTGTGGGTAGTCAAAGAGGAGGTCTAGTGTTAGTAGTCCTGGGCCCTTGAGTTCCTAATGCCTAAGGGCTGGACTAGCCGACTCAGGACACTTACAATTCCAAGCCCTGACAATTTGGGGCCTATTGCTCCAGGCTTTAGTTGGAGAGTTTCTTCTCTGGGCTACACTCATCAAGCCTGGAATTCGGCAGCTATTATAATCCTCAGCTTCCAGCAGTAGCAACTAGCAACCAGCAGGTGGTGGTAGCAGACAGTACTGCTAATGTTCTTAAACAGACCTCCTGTATTAGGACGTTCAGCTTCACAGTGGCCAGTGTTAAAGAGTTCACAGGTCTAGAGTATCTGAGACCCTTGACTGTTTTGTTGTTATTGTTGTTTGTGGGGGCTGGGCGCTGCCCCTGAGCCGTTCAGTGCTCTACCACTTGAGCCACAGTTTTCCACTGTTAGCTGAAGATAGGAGTCTCATGGAGACTTTGCCAGGGTTGGCTCTGAATCCTGATCCTCAAATCTCAGCCTCCTGAGTAGCTATGATTAAGAGCATGAGGCAAGTGCACCCTGCAAACCCTTGGTTCTTAAGGCTGATACCTCCCTGGGATGCTTCCAGTAACTAGGACTACACTTTCTCATCTCCAGTTCTACAGGGCCATTGTTGTCTTTGCCACTCCTAGTCACTCTCTGGAACTCTGCCGCCACCTCTCCTCCTACGGCCATCACGACTCCCACACTCCCATGGGCTCAAAGGGTACAGCACTTGCCTAGCAGTGAAGTTTGAGTCCCAGTACAGTCTCTCTCTCTGTCTCTGTCTCTCTCTCAAACACATACACACACACACACACACACACACACACACACACACACACCACACATGAAAGAAAAAGAGAAAAAAAAAAAGCAAGCTAAAGTCTGTTGGTCAGAAGGGGAATGGTGGCAGCGGTGTTTGCACCCAGATTGTTGGTACCCCTGCTGGGCTACTGAGAAGTGCCCCCCCCAGCCTGGGTAAAACACGGCCATTAAGAGTTCACCAATGTTTGTTATCCAGTGTCTAAAACGGTTGTTAATGTTAAACTGGAGGAGAAAGGAAGAAAACAGGCTGGACTCGATTTCCATCAGGCTAGGATGGTTTGTTGACGTACCGCAGTGAGGCTTGGAGACTGTGCAGAAGTTGGATTTTTATGGGGTCGGAGCAAGGAGGCAGAGGTTAATGGAAAAGCCCTTAGGCCTAGGGAGCTGGGGGGCTTTACGCTGGGGCCCAGGATGGCCTGTTTACAGCCAGGCCGGGGGGGGGGGCTGCCCTGCCTGTGTCAGGCAGTCTGCGGTCTTTGGAGGCTCACCTGATGTCTGTGTGCACCAGCCGGGCGCTGGTGGCTCACGCCTGCAATCCGAGCTACTCAGGAGGCTGAGATCTGAGGATCAGGGTTCAAAGCGAGCCCCCCCCCCCCGCAGGAAAGTCCCTGAGATCTAATCTCTAACCGCCTTGAGCTGAAGAGCGCAGGGACAGCGCCCAGGCCCAGAGTTCAAGCCCCACCACCGACCAAAGAAACAAAACAAAACAACAGTATTGAACGGTGTTTTACTGTCAACCAAATAACCTTGGGGTAGAGTTAGGCCATGGGCTCCTGAGGAAGCGGCTTCCAAGTGTGTGTGTGGCGGGGGAAGGAGGGGGAGCCAGGCCCTGGGACAGATCCGCTCTCAGGGAGTGGGGGAGGGGGGAACCCCAGGACTGGATCCACTCAGGGAGTGAGGGGGGGACCCCGGGACTGGGTCCACTCAGGGAGTGAGGGGGGTAACTCCGGGATCGCTCTCGGGGAGTGACGGGGGAGGGGACCCCGGGGCTGGATCAGCTCTCCGGGGGGGGGGGGGGGGGAGTGATGGGGGCCCGGGACTGGGCCGGCTCTGGATCCGCTCTCGGGGAGTGACGGGAGGGAGACCCCGGGACTGGATCCGCTCTGGATTCACTCTCGGGGAGTGACAGGGGGTGGGACCCCGGGACTGGATCCGCTCTCCGGGAGTGACGGGGGGGGTGCGCAGACCCCCGGGAGGGAGGCGCAGGAACAGAAGCCGTCCCGAGCACCCGGGTGAAGGGCGTGAGACCACCGGGGACTCCGGGGCCGCCGCGCTGCCTCCGCTTAGGTTCTCCGGGAGTCAAGCTTGCTCGGAACGACTTGGTTTCCGTCTTCCCCGGGACTGAGAGCGGGCTGCACAGGCGGCCACGCGTGGCCGGGCCCGGCGCGCGCCGA